GCAAGGAACATCCCCCTAAAGTTTCAGCCTTCCAGCTTTTGTAGTTGCTGAGTTAGTAATTTTCCCGCAGGAACTTTCACAAGTCCTTACGTAAGTACCACACATAACTTGGGTCTGAATTTGAAATATTTGAGTTGTACTTGGACAGGAAATATACTCCCAAAATTTCAGCCTTCCAGCTTTTCTGGATACCGAGTTAGCAATTTTTCTGCCAAAAATTTTACATGTCCGTGCGTGGATACCCTACGTACCTGGAAAGCTGAATTTGAAATTTTTAAATTGCACGTGGACGGGGAGCATCACTCTAAAATTTCGTGGTACTCATGCGTGGTACTCACGCAAGGGCGTTTGAAAGTTTTACGGGAAAAATTGCTAACTCGGGTATCAGGAAGGCCTTCCAGCTCTTCTGGTTGCCGAGTTAGCAATTTCCCTCCAGAAACTTTCATACGCCCTTACGTGATTACCACGGATAGTAGGGGGCTGAATTTGAAATATTTGAGTTGTACTTCGATAGGGAACATTCCTCCAAAATTTCAGCTTTTCTACCTTTCCTGGTACCCAAGTTAGCAATTTTCCCTGTAAAACTTTCAAACGCCCTTACGTGAGTACCACGTATACCTGGAAGCTGAATTTGAAATCTTTAGCTGTACATGCACAGGGAATATCCCTACAAAGTTTCAGTCCCTTATCTCACGTAGATCCCGAGATCGCCTTCCCGCGAAAAAATTTGCATGTTTTTTTAAAGCGTCAGTACGCGACACCGAGGCGTCCACGGGGGATGAAATTAAAACGGGAGGATCGCGCATGGTATAGGCACATATCCCCAAAGTTTCAATCTTTTAGCTTTTCTGGTTCTCGAGTTGAAAGTGGGTGACAAAAAGTGCAAACACACAGACACACACACACACACACACACAGTCTCTTCCCAATATGCGTTTTTGCAATTTACAAATATGCAAAAACGCACAAAAATGTAAGGTCAATTATTATTATTCACCAGATCCCAAAGTGCATATATTAGGACATTTTATTATGTTGTGAAGAAACAGTGTAAACGATCTGTTTCAGAAATAAATCCTGGAGAATCTGGCTGCACGCAGAATCGACAGTGTGAAGCAGTGTGGCCAGGTGCGTACTGTAGGTCGGGTGAGTGTCGATGCGCCAACAACCAACCGCCATTCAGGTTCGGATAATTTGCAGAATATGTGTTTTGCAAAGATTAACTTGCAAGAATACCCGTGTATGCTTTGAATTTTTTTCTGATTTTTTCGAAAAGGAAGAGCTTTATTACTTATTAGGTACAGGCAGAAGGCGGAAACTTAGCATATTACAGGAAATAACGAAAGCATTGAAATATAAATTTTTTAGCTTCTAATTATTATTTTGGTAATTTCAGATGCTTTATAAAGTATTGCTTTATAAAGTATTGAAAGTAAGCCAGTACTTTATAAAGTACTTTTATTGCTTTATAAAGTAAGCCAGTACGCCCCTACGTGAAAAGACTTTGCTTTTTTTCTCTGCGCGCAGCAAGAAATTTAATCGGGAGTTTCAGGACTCGGGATGGATTAGTGTGTCTGAATTACGGGTTTTGTCCTCTGAATGGCAACAATCCAAAATTTCGGATCGAAAATCAAGTTCAACAATGTTACGGTGGTTCAGATGCCACTTGTGAAGCGATTGGCGCCTTAGCGTATGACTGTATTTGTGACAAGGAGGACTGCACCGTCAACAATCCAATTAGCTTCTGCTGTCCATCGCGAGGTTGCTGCTTGTTTGACTGCCACAAGGCGACCGAATTAGTTGATAATTGATTTTTATGCGTTTTTGCTGTGCAGCGCTATAGCGCTGCTACAGCCAGCAAAAATGCAAAAATTGTCGAGAGGCTGTGTGTGTTTCGAAGCGAGTGCATTTTGTCACCCACTTTCATCTCAGCAACCAGGAAAGCTGGAAGGTTGAAACTTTGGGTATATTTTCCTTCCTCATGTATCATCCCCCCGTTTCAATATCTTCCTCTACGCGCGCCTAGACCCCACGTACGCCGCCCCCCCCCCCCTCAGAAAAAATATGCAAATTTCATTGGCGGGAAACGATTTCGGTATCGGTCTCGCGTACCAGGCAAGTTAGGAAGCTGAAACTTTGCAGGGATATTCTGTATGCACGTGCGAGCTAAAGACTCTAAACTCAGCTGTCGAGCATGCTTGTGAAGCGCGTACGGTCGCGTCAAAGTTTGCAACTTGGTACTATGCCAAGTCGAAAATTTGCCGGAAAGCAGTGGCTGCAATTTTGTCAGGATGTTTGTTTCCCATATGGGAAATAATATACCTAAAATGAATACCGATTTGCACTTGCGCCTTGACTTAGGGCACTTCAAAGATAATTATAGCGAAGTGGATATTCCGCTTGCTGGATAAGTTGCGAGGCTGAAAGTTCGCTGGATTATTCTGCTTTCAAGTGCGGTCTTAATTCTGCTTGAGGGTGGAATTCCCTCCAGGTAGGCGCGAGAAATACTCGAATTTATTGAAAAACAGAAACGAGTGTGTTTTGTAGCGAACGACCGCCCTCATCCAAATATGTAAATGAACATTCACTTTATTTGCATATTGGATTTTTTCACAAACGACCGCTCAAGCAATGCTTCCATTTTTTAGTGAACTGGAAATTCGCATTTTTTTTTTTCAAAAAATTTGCATAATTTTTTCAAAAAGCTAGCATTTACCAAACCCAGGCTAGAACGCACCAGCCTTCCCGGTGTGATCATGCGTTTTTGCACTAAACTCGCAGATCGCTATTGGCAGGAATGATCCCTACGCTGTAGCCTACCACTTGGGCTAATATTGGCCGTGCTTTGATCCTTTCCGACACGCAAGAGGAAGGGCATCAGCTGGGATGAAGGTGGTGCATTACAGAGCCGCACGGACATCCAGGTGCATGACTACCGGCTTTTTGCATGAAGTCCGGTCGTTTTTTCGGTAAGTGCTCGCTTCGTGAAAAAATGACAAATGTAAATTTTTTGAACAAATGCAAATTTCCAGTTCACTGAAGAGTGGAAGTATTGCTCGAGCGGTCGTTTGTCAAAAAATGCAGGTTCATTTACAGACACGATTGCGGTTAAGGCCCGAGCTGCGAACGAATTTTTTGAAATATGCAAATTTTCAGTTCATTGA